ACTTAAATGGAAAACTAAAAATTAAATTATAAAAAATTTTGACGTTTGAAATGTCACTTATGTGGTATCATTGGATTCAGAAAATTATGCAGATTTCAGAAATGTAATAATATACAGGGTATTCCATTTGAAAATCGAAAGTTGGTATCACTTCCGGCGAAACCGGAAGTGGAAAAAATATCATCTGTTGATCAAAAAGTGCCGCTTATTATGTATATGGAATATCCCAAATTTCAATCAATTACCTTTAAAACTAATGGAGATACGGGGGGTGTACTATGATCCTGTTACACCTGGTATATACTATAACGTGCGAGGGGAGATTCTTTATTCAAAATCTTCTCATTTAATTTCCAACAATAAGACAGAGCTTATCATTTTTATCATTTTCTGTAATTGCATTTGGGTGAATTAAAATAGTAGTTAACTTTTAAGTGACTTTAGTTTGGAAAAAATCACCTAAATTTCCAAATTAGAGTCGCTTAAAAATTTGTATTTACGTTCAAAATGAAGATCAAAAAAAAAGTATCAAGAGGTAACAAGACATTTAACTATCTACATATAACTATCCTACAAAAGAACAAAATAAGTGAGTGGCGTATATATTTTTTTACAAACTTCAGTTATTAGTTTGTGAGAAGGAAAATGACTTTGTTAGTGTCCTTTAAAAAAACTTTCTGTAATTCTACTAAAACATACGAGGTCATGCTAAAATTTCTTGTACTATGCTTTATTTAATAATCCCATTATTACTTTTTCTTTCTTTCTTTTTTCAACTAATAAATTCTGTCTTTTGTATAATTTATATTTGTCATGGAAGTATGCAGACATAAATTCTCCTTTGTAACTGTATTCTACATCACATTCATGTCCATCAGTCAGTCCCTCTTTAGCACCAAATGTTTTCTCAAATCTTTGTCATGTATTCAATTTTGTCATATTTGCTACACACTAGTTTTTTCCTCTTCTGTCAGATGTGTTTTGGCGGTCTGGAAAATAAATTAATCTAGCCATTAATGTAAAACCTCTGCACCGTTTAAAGCTTCTAATAACTTACTCCCTTCTCATATTCATCATTGAATATCTTTCGACGAATCTGACATACCATGAAATATTTCTATGCCTTCTGATCTTGCTTCAGATTTTCGATTTAATAACTTTAGCATTCGCTTTTCACTAGCTACCCCGCAATTTTCATTTATCATCAAATTAGCCATCATCTGCATCAATGTAGCTACATCATTTCTAAATTTAATAGCCTCTCACCGATACTCTCAGCTTGGCTCTCCATACTTGTTCCTTATTGTTAATAAAGTTCTGACTGACTTCAGCTGACTAAAACACCTACTTAGCCCACTTACTCAACTAACAACTCAAGCTATATCTTATTGGATTTTCCTTTTCACAGAAAATTCACTCGAATCCCACTTCTGAGGTATTATCTTCCGAGCAATAAATGTCTTTTTTGGTTTACTTTATGTATTTGGGTAACGTGAATTCTGTTTATAAATAAAATATGACTAATACTGCTAATAATCAAAGCAACTTTTCGTTCGTTTTTCTGTTTTCATCGGCGATCTTAACAAACTGTCCAGTACTAATTCAAAAGAACTTTTTTATTGTGTGACAGCTTACAAAATAAATTATACGATACATTTAACGACGCAATTCCTGCCTCAACGAAAAAATATAAAATGTAGTTCGCGAATACAAAGGATATTTCCTGACACTTTATCTAGCTTTTTATAAGAGGATGCTTGAAAAACACAAGACACTTGAAAGTCGGGTTTTGTCTTATGCCACGTTCAAGCCCTCACCTTGTATCTAAGTACCTCTCTTTAACTGAATTTTGGTCAATCAAAAGTAAGTTAAAAAAGTTCTTAATTAAATTATGACCCAAAGATTGATTATTATAACCCATTTTCATAATCAAATTGTATTTAATACTAAAATAAATTTCAAAATAATGAACTTAGACGTAATGCGATGTCTTGATCTTTAGAAATAGTAATGCTGTTATAAGTAGCTGTAAGTCGATTGTTCATTTCAATGCAACGAACTGTGCAGTGCAATGTCAAAGGTATATGGAATAATTACCAGTATAAGGCAATATGTGTTCATGACAAAGTGTTTATATTACGCCTTTGTTTTTATGTTGTATTAAAAATTTGTATCATTTTGCTTCGAGCTTCCAAAGTTACGAGCTTTGGAAGAATATATTATTATAAAACAAGACCATACTTATTATTAATTATAAAGGATGTAAAAAGTAATTTTGATAGAAAACATAGTGTTTTAAGATCATTAATTGATCCAGTCTTTCTAAATTTTTCGATTAATCTTTTCACGGTTGATGAAGTTAAATCCGACCATATTTTGTACGAGAATTGCGAACTTTAACTGCCAAAGCGACCTTACGCCATTGGACTTTTTCCTGTGGGGATTCGTAATGTCCAAAATCTATTCTACTTAAATGAACAGGTGAATTAAATGAATTCCTGAATTAAAGGCAGACATTCTGAGAATTATCAACGAAATTCAGCCGTAGATATGCGAAAGCGTCGAGTATGTCAAATGAGTCGCTGAGGTCCTCTTTCATATTTAATGGCAAAGTCTGCCCTTTAAAAATATGTAAAAACTTTTTAATTAATAAAATATTCTTTCATATGAAATCCTGCATTTTTTTTGGTACACCCTTCATTAGAATTGCACAAGCACCACTATCAGAAAAGGCTTCAAATATTATAGATATCATTATTACTCAAAAACTGAGGTAGAGTAGAGGTAAGCAGAGGCCGATTTCTTAAAGCTGTCTGTTACTTACTGCAGGAAGAAACTTATCACACTTATCTATCTATAAGATAATGAAATTTTTCTTGCTTTTTTTCTTTCTCTTTATTTTTTTTTGTTGTTATCTAATAATTAATATTGGAATTTGTTAGTATCCACCCTGTAGATAAAAATGTAATAATTACTGTTGGGTCTAAGCGGCAAAAGGTTTTCGCCAATTAAAAAACTTTTTTTTTGATTTGAGAGAGAATATACGATACTAAAATCAGGAATCAGAAACGAAAGTTTTATTTCCAAGTAAACTACAGCACAGTACAACTTTTCGTGTGCGTCTGGTTTAACAGTGAACTTCGATACAGCTTTAAATTAAATGATTTGGCCCCGTCTCAAACATATTAAAATGATTTATTAGGCAGTATTGACAAACAACGTTCAGGTTTTATTAAAGGTTTTACATCTTTACAATTGGTTGTTTAATGCGTCTGGCGTAGTAAAATGTATAAGAGCTATTATAAAAAGTATCCAACTTGATTAGCATTCATAAATATGCATTTATAATGTACGTAAGAAAATGTGAACATTTTACGAGTCCCAAAATAGAATATGCTTTAAATAAAGTAGTTTCTAAATGGGAATTGCCACATAATTCTTAAATACTATTAGCAAAATATACGGGTGTACGTATATAAATAATTTTAAATATGTTATGCAGAAAGTTTCCAAAAGATATTTTAGTTTTTAAAGATGTATATTGCGCACATGTACTTTATATATGCGCGAGTTTCGAATTTATGATCTTGTGAATGTTATAATGTTTAAATACGTGCAATTAATTGCTAACGCGCTTACGTTTTGCAAAATATGCATTGGGTTAAAGTCAATGAACATGTTAATTTTGAAATGTGTCTTACTCTATACATATTATTTTTTAATAAAATATTTAAGATTTGTTTTGTGAATGTAAATGAGGAAACCATAAATATGTTCCATGGCAGGCTTGAAATAATTCATTGTGGCGGGTCAGTAAATAAATCAAAATACTGTGCAAACTATCAAATAATGTATGTATCTGTAATTGAATTACATAAGAGAAAAAGCTCTGAATGAGAAAAAAAAACAAGTTTGGTTTTTATCTCCGAAATGCAATGTTTAATTTTTTTTTAAATATTTCATTGCGATTCAGACCCGTAAACACATGGGTTGGCCACTTGTGATAAAAATATTGCCGAATTTTTTTCGTCTCTTGGAAAATGCAAGTTTTGAGGGTTAATGGTAATCAAAAAAATGATTACTTTTGAAAAATTTTGCTAGACATGCTTTTCGAGTCATACCAATTGTTACCAAGGATAACACACTAAACAAAGCTGTGATGTCCATCTTCACAGGCAAATAAATGTTACTAAACGTCAAAGTTTTTCAAGACAATTGCAATGCATTTTTTTACTACATATTTATCATGTAGTACTTATAATACAAACTAATTAATGTACGTAAGTATTAATATTTTGTATTTAGAAACACTGATTCGTATGTGAATGTATCAAAATTTTTTAGATGTGTTATCATTGGTAATAATTTTATTTCAGTTGATACATATTCCAGTTTTACTAGAAAACTTTTTTTATCAGTAACAGTTTTTAAATGCAATATTTTTTTTAAATACCATCACTCATGTCATGATTCAGGGCTTGTATTTTCCAAGAGAAAAAAATCTTTCTTTTTGGTAAGGTGGCTATGAAAATGTAGGTTTAGCAACCCAATTTTTTGTGAGTTTGTGTAAAAATGAGTCATCAAAGCCAAAAACACGCACCAATTAAATTTAGTATTGACACTTGAAGTGCTTTAGAAGATATTTAAGAAAAACTATTGTCAACAGGTTATCTTTAAACTATTGAACTTTTTATTTTGCACCTTATCAACATATCAGCATTGAAAAGCGCCAATACCGGAAAACACGATTAGGTTAATATAACGATATGGATTTATGTTATGTGGTGATGACTACAGTAACATTAGCGAACCAATCTTAACCAAGTATTGATTTTCTATTCAAGATTGCATTGCCAGTCAATAAAGTGAATGATGCACCGGCGATATATAAAATTTTGAAAGGTGCAGTAAGGGGTGCAATATTGATGAGTGAGTGAGCTTGAAATCATGTTCAGTGCAGACTTGGTGTCTATAACACATTTATTTTTATGTTGTTGCAGGAGTGTCCCGAGGGTGTAGTTCACGAAGATAGTTTTAAGGAGATTTATTCCAAGTTTTTTCCACACGGAAGTAAGTATTATAGGCTAGAAAATATTCGTTATTGTAGTTTCATAGACATTGATATTTACGTGGAATAATAGTGTCGATTACTATTTAGAAATTACAATCATAAATTACCAGAACTTCTAGGCTAGGTTGACGCAGCTTCTAAACAAATTCTAATATTAACATCACTGATTATTGTATTTTATATTTTAAAATGGTATTTCAAGAAAATATTGTGACTTGCTGTTCATGTTGGAACAGCTGTAAGGCACAGAAAGTCGGCTTTGGCTTCATCCATAACATACTGTCAAATCTATGGCTTTGGCCATGGAGATTACATAAGGAGCACGAACTTCATGTAAACAAATATCTTACCAAATTAGAGGGAGCTAGTCTCCCATATGCACCGAAATAATAGAGGGGAGATAAAGAAAGCGGCAATTTGAATTAAACATCAATCATGCTCAATAAATAACGAAAATATGTGGGTGTACAAGGAACAGTAGCAATCCTAGCGGTAAAAACTTTAAATAATTTCTACTATTTTCCCGTATGAGTTCGTGCTCCTTGTCCACGGTCCGTAAAGAGACGGTCGCCGCATAAGTCAATCAGCCAATAAAAAACAAATACGTCACCAAATACCTCAGTTTATCTTCATTCAACCGTCATCTCTTTCTAACTCATTGCATTTCCCATAAGAAAATAAAAGGCAAATTTAAAATTGTCACGTTTCTTGTACCACGCTCCTTTTAACATAAAATAATAAATTTAATCAGTTATGATTATGGTTAATTAACAGGTATTTTGAGTCTAAAATGTTACCTTTATATACAAACTGAACCTTTACATTGGAATGTGGAAATAAAAGGATGAAATGTGAAATTGTCTTGAATACACATCACGATCGGTCACCATTTTTGACGTTTGGTTACATAATTAACCTAAAATTTGTGTTAATTTTTTTTATAGATATCTATTAATACCCATAAACTCTAATAAAATGAAGAGAGGAAGTGAATATATAAACAATTTAGACCTATCTTAATATTCTCTTGGCTCCAAAATAAAAACTGTGTACACTTTATATGATGTTATTGTATCTGCTTTTGTCTTTAGTTAAATTTCAAATAACTTACCAAAGTACTTTATAATAGGCTGCAACATAATTTATTTTTGTACTTACCAACTACAGTTTTACAGTTGATGTTCCGAATTAAACAATTCATAAGTTTTTACAAGTAAACTATACAGTAGTTTTTAGCTTTGAAAGAGTTTTTTTCGGTGTTCGGAGTTAAATGGACTATGAAGGAATAAAAGGAAAGGAGGAATAGGAAAAGTTAATCGCACAGAACTTTTGATATAACATTTAATTTTAAGAAAAATTGTCAAGTTTACAAAAATATTAAAATCACATTTCGATTAATTAATTAATTAATTAAGTATCTAGATGCTTTATTTAAGGCTGTGCAAAATTTTTAAAATTAGAAAAAATTTTTCAACATTTTTTCAAAAAATTATTTTGCGAAAACTATTAAACCGATTTTAATGAAATTTGGTGTGTTGTTTCATTATACTATAAAGTTTTTAAACATAAAATATTGTAAGTTTGTAAATAGGTCAGATGGTATTTCAGCTAGGTCAGAATCATTTTGGGAATTTTTAATATTTTTTAGTAAATTTCGTACTCTGCATAGTCTGGCTCTGCAATATATCGGTCGTCGGAGAGGTGTTTGGATTGGACATCGGAGCGAAATTTGAATTCCTCTCGCGGTCTTGAATATTTCAAAGTGGTAAAGAATTATATACAGTGTGCTCTTCTACTTCTGTTTTCAGAATATCAGTAATACATACGTGATAATACACACGTTGGCATGTGCGCCTACTTACAAATAATTGAGATTGTCTGAACAATTTGATTAAGATTTAATTAAGGATCATTGGCTACATTTAGAAATATGTTGAAGTTTATTCTAAAAATAAGCATGCGAGTTATAATTAAGAAGATATTTGCTTTATTTTGTCTTCCAAAAAGAAATACAGCATCAAATATCGTGCCGACTTCTAGCCTTTCGATTTTAAAGGAAGTAACGGATCAGATTGCAATTTATATTTACTTCATATAATGCAAAATGTATGGTCATGTAACATGGGTTGGAAATTATATAACTCTCACCTTATGTGTCCCCAATTTATTGACATTATATTCACATTGAGTTCAAATTATTTTGTTCATCAAAAAATCCACAACTTTAACCTTTTTACTTATACGTCTTCACTGCTCGTGAACAAAAGCTGTAAGATATTTAAAAGCTTTAAGGGTTAGACCGTAAAGACTGTACGACTTGTTAAATTAAATTAAATTTTATTTTTAATTTTGGGCTACCCTCTGATACCACTAAGTAAGTTCTGTGCATATGTTGAATTTCCCCCTATGCATTATGCAGATTGTCTTATGGACCGAAGGTCTGTTCCAACAGGAGTCAGGAATTGGTTCCGAACCGTTCGAAATGTTCATCCAACTAATTCTTGCGATATATTCACTGAAGACACATTTAGAACTTAGCTGGCCAAACATTTCAAACGGTTTGGAACCAATCCCTGACTGTTGATGGAACAGACCTCGAGCGGTCAGGTCAGAATTAGAATTTTCCGTCTGCGCTCTGGTTGGTCGAATAAGCGGAGAGCGAATTACTTGCCAAACTGTCCAAGTTACATAATTATTTAAAAGTGTTTAAAATAATTCTAATTGAAATTACTACCAGTTATGTATAATATTTATTACAGAAATGAAACTACATAAGACGTTTTGTTATTGTTCAGATGTTTACACATGATTTCTATATCACGGCATGCCTATGAAATGAACTCTTAATTATAGTAATCCTAAGAAACCACTTTGACGTTTCCATTCAACGCATTCTGTTATTAACGGTACCAGTTACCAGTAATTCCAGCTGTCGATTGATAATAATCGTTACTGAAGTGGTAGGCGTGGCAATTTTTTTATTCGAAGAATTGAAGCCGAAGACAATTTTCTAAACTATTTATATTTAAGAAAATATATGACATTATATCTCCAGTATAATTTATACTACTAAATGTGATTGTCTTTTTAAAACGGCATGCCTTCTGTAAATATGTGGGTGATAAATATGTCTGATTAACATCATATTGGACATTCACATGTAAAAGGACGTGATCGATGTGAGGGGAACAACTGCGTTGCTGCCAGTTTGCCACGTTTTTCAGATATAACAGGAAACTTATTTTTTTTTTAATGGAACGGCTTGTATAATTTTACTGTTTTGGATTGCTTTCTTATGATATTAAGTGGTATTAACATTGACGGATCTTTCTATAACAGTAAGGGAAAAGTATGTAATAAGCCTAATATGTTTAAAAACACTGAGTTGCCCTGCAAATAGTAATATATATTTTTGTATATAATATATATACACTGTTTTAACTATTAGACCTATTAGAAACTTCATAGCATATATAAACTTCATATAAAATGTGTGGCATTTAAATTAATAAAATTTTCTGTAATATCTGAAAAAGTATCAATAACGCAATCAGAACTGCCATATGTTTTTGCCTCTGGATGTCAAATATACCATCTTCGTCTTCTTCTTCTACTAGTGGTTGGTTTTAATCAAGTCCCATAGTACCACGACCATATCAGGTCTATCGTGCGTCCCACTACTGAGTCCTATTCAGCAATTATTTTGTCCTTTTTACGTCCAAACGCTTCCTTGCCGAGACTTCTCTCAGTTCCGTGGGTTTCCAGAAGCGTAATTCTACTACGTGCAGATCCTAGGCACTCGCCCAGGATATGCAGAGAGGTTTCGTCCGACGAGTCACCTTCTAGGCAAACCAAACTGTCTATGAAGTTTTAGTTTGTATAGATGTTTCCTTAACGTGACAGTGTCCCGTTACAAGTCCCGTCATTTTCCTGAGCCGAATTTTATTCAAGTTCAGCAACTCATTGGTTCTTTCCTTCAGGGGATACTCTATAAGTTCCTTCGCATGGCTTTGCCCTGGCCTTTAAGTCATGTATTTCTTGTGTTATAACTCAGTCCATTTGGCCAGAGCCCCCTGACCACACTGGGAGATGTGCCACAAGGGCTGCGGGCCAATGAACCGATCCCTTCCTAGTAAATTCATCCGCTTTCTCGTTTCCGTTAATCCCAACATAGTCTAACTGCATTAGTGGTAGCCAGTTCAGTTAGCATTTGGAAACATTCCCACAAAAGTTTTCAGCTTATCTGTGTAAATACCCATCAATCACATATAAAAAATATGGGGGTATATAAATAAACAAACCACCGTTTACAACAGATAAATGCATGTTAAAAGGAAAATTAGTTTATTTTAAATTATGAAATTTGCATCTTAGTATACAGGGTGTCCGGAAATACCGTTCGAATAATTCTAGGGGTGATTCTACATGTTAAACTATGGAGAAAAGTTCATATGAACATAGGTCCGCAAATGCATCATAAGGTTGCTATGGCGATTCAAAGATTGCACCGGGATATAGGTTTTATTTTATATCTCTGGAACCGTTTCAGATAGCCATCTGAATTTTGGCATATGAATTGCCTTTAATAGTAGGTACTTTTCAGTGTTTTTACTAAATTATTATTTTAATCAGGGGCGTACCGACAGGGGAGGCCTCGATTTAATTTGTTCACATTTTTATTAAACGTCATATTTTTGCAGTTTTCTTTAGAGACTGAAGAAAATAGTGCATGCATGGTCGCCCAATAATAAAAATTTCTACATCAAAGTAGGCTTATGTCGGTGCTAAGTTGAAAATGGAAAAAGGTCAAATTACTGTAGTTACGGTAAACGAATTTGACATAAGATTTAAAAATAAAGTTTATTCGATTATTATTGTGTTAATAACAGTGTAATTGAAAAAAATCATTGTTCTCGTCTTTCAAAAAATGCTGGAATACTCTTTTGCTGAAATGGCCGACATGCACTTCATGTATGGCAAAGCAAACGGTTGTGCTTTG